TTTTTTTGTCCTTTTTGAGACCGGCCGCATCGCGCTCAGCCAGTGAGCGCTGTGAGCGCACAGGTCATCCCTATATAGGATCCGAAACCCGCGGCGGGTGTGCGGGTGCGCCGCTGTGCTCCCAGCGCCACACTCTCCCGAGTGCGCCACGGGCTCGGCCCATTACCACTAGTATTTTTAACTTACGTACTTAGCATAGTGACATTTGACATTGTAGAACACTCGCTTCTTGAAGTACTTTTTAAATTTGAATTTAAAGAACACACTCTTGCTTTATTCTCCTCCAATGTTATCTGTCTTTCCTTCTCAGTCTCCTTTGGTGTTTTTATTTTTCTCTCATGTCTTTGATCTCTAAACATTGGCATGCCTTATGGATTTATCCTTGGAACTCTTTTTCTCCACTAATAATTTATTCACAGCTGATTTCATCCAGTCTCTTGGTTTTAAATCCATTTAAATACCCACATTTACATCTAAAGTCCAGTTGGCTCCTTTGACTACTGGACTCATATATCAAATGATCTATATGACATCTCCTTTTTGGCAACCTCTACTTACTATACTTGAAAATGACCTGCTGAATTTGACCTCAACCCACTCAGCCCTCCTTACATCATACCTGCCTCCTGTGAAATCATCCTCATTTAGAGGAAAGGCAAATGCACTTACCAATTGCTCTAATTTCTTTGGCCAAAAACTTTGAAAATATTTTTGTCTTCTAACTTTTCACACACCCCTATTTGATCCATTAGGAAATCCTATCAGCCATTTTTTCAAAATATGCCTGGAATCCACCAGGTCTCAGGATCTTTACTGCTACCATCCTGATGCAAGCCATTATCACCTCTTGTCTGGCTGAGTGTGATAAATCTAACTGATCTTGTTTCTTTCCACCTTACTCCTCTTCAGTCTGTTCTCCTATTAGCTGACAGTGAACTTTTAAAAACATAATTCAGATCAGTTTGTTTCTGTGCTCACAACTGTCTGTCTCACCATCTCACTTAAATGAAAACCAAAATTTTATTATAATGCACAAATTCATCTAGTTACCTGCCACATCTTTGACATTTGACATCAGCCGCTGTCTCCCTGTCACTCACTCCTTCCAGCCTCCCTGCACTTACTTTCGACGTAAGACGCCAATTACTTTCCTCCCCCAGGGTCTTTGCAGCTGCTCATTCTTCTGCCGTGAGTACTTACACCTTGGCTAACCACGTGGCTTATTCCTTCACTCTATTCTGGCCTTTTAAAGAACATTTCCACTCAAACTGACAGTTCTTTTGCTCTTGGCAATCTGTAGGCGGTTACTCTGGAGAGATGGAAAGAGGGTTCTGGGGTTCTGGGGCTCTGATGACTTCTGATGAGCTGGTTGGCTTGATCGTTTTAGACCACTAGGAGGCGCTCTATGCTTTACTCTAAATGAGGAACTTTTTCTCAAGTTCTGAGATAGCAGAATATTAGATAGTGAAAATTTGATGGAGAGTTAGCAGCAGTTAGAAAAGCATCTGAAGAGTTATATACTATAAGAACAGGGGGTAATCTTCATAGATTCGTCTGCAGGAAAGGTCTGCAGCTGTAATGGGTGTGACAGATGATTCCCAAAGCAGAATTAAGAATATGAATCAGCTAAGGCCATGGTAAAGCTGGAAGCTCTGGTAGAAAAGTCTACATTACCTACTCACAGCTTTGAAATTTATGACTAAAAAGCCTAAAATATGAGTCTTTTCTCTGATTTCAAAATTATTCCAATGATTTCTACCTACTCTGATACTTCTTCTGAGACTAGAAAAACAGGACAAAGGGGATGAGAAGAAATGAGAAAAAAGTAATGAAAATATTCAGAGACAGGAGAAAAAAGAGAAAAAGAAAAGAGATTTGGAAAAGAGAAAGAGGACACATTTAATTGAATTTCAAGATGTCTATGCCTCTTATAGTTTCAGTGTTGCAAGATGAAAAAGTTTCAGAGATCTGTTGCAAAACAATGTGAAGATACTTAACACTACTGAATGGTGTTCTTAAAAATGGTTAAGATGGTAAATTTAATATTATGTGTTTTTTACATCCCCCCACCCCAATAATAAATGTGGCTTATACCTCCTGTTCACAGAGCAGAATTGGCCAGGTGGGTTGCAAAGTAAATGGAGAAAGTAATTGGGCAGGGAGGAAGAGAGATGGAAATGAGGTCAGGGTGACCGTTGTAAACATGTCCTATTTCTTTTTCTATCAACCAAAGAAATAGGGGACATTTTATATGTTCATGATGACCATATGTCCTAGATTTACAAAATTCTCCTAATTTCATTTCATTGTACTTACTCTTTTAAGGGGATTAAATAAATAAACAATGCATTCAATGAGATATTCTTCCTTTGTGAGAGCTTTCTTATAAATAAATTCTCAACCACTTTTCGAACTATGTGTCCTGATTTTTGGGGGAAAGAAATTGGGTCACTGACCTTGCTAATTTTTTCAGCCACTTTACCCACATGAGGCCCTTATTTCTCGTTGAGGTATTCTTTCCTTTTCTTCACTCTCCTCCTGTCATGTCTGATTACTGGGGCATTTTACTGGAGCAATCCTGCGAGGGTGAAAAGCCTAGACGTCTCTGTGTCTGTGGTCAGCAGTGTAGCAGACAGCTGGGTACTGACATTAGCAGCTATGTCAACACCTACTGAAGGACTAGAAGGAAATCTCTTTGCCCCCTGATTTCCTCATATTCCTCTTCATTTAAGGACAGATTAGACTCAGCCTATCTGTTACTTTCTTCTCATCTATTTGGGGGCCAGAGGAGAGGCTTTATCAAGAAAATAATTTCCTTTTTACAGGTCCACTGATCTCTTCAGGACAAGCTATCTCTATGATCTATAGTTTTCTGTTCTTTATCCTGAAGGTACCTGCTATGTGACTCCAGATTTATCTGACCACAAAATGGGATACCTTACTTGAATTCTCTCAGCACACTGTGGCTAGTGGCCACAAATGCTCTTTGGCTAAGGACAGGGGATCAGGGACATTTTCAATCTGGTATCTATCTAGAATTGCCCTTTTTCTAGGCAAAATGATTGTTCCTTTGTTTATGGCCTATTTTTTAAAAACTTGTGTAACTAAATATAAAGGGACACATCCTGAGTCGGGAGGGTCCAAATCAATGATGATGGATGGAAGTTACTCGATCTGGTAATGTTTACACATTTCATTAAAATATCTGTAGAGAAGTTTAAATTTCTACAAAGTGTGATCTATCAATATTTTTTTCTTATGCTTTCTGAGTGTCATGCTTAGAAAATATATGGCCATCTTAAATTTATATAAAATTATATTTTATTTAAAAATATTAAATATTATCTCCATTTGGAATTTATTTTGTAAAGGGTGTTAAGGTAGGTCTTGAAAGGTATTTATTAACTTCTAAATAACTCTCCATTATGGCACATTTCAGCAAATATATCATCTTTTCCTCATTTTTATTATAACTAAACTTCCATAAGTATTTGTTTGTTTGGATTTTATACCATGTTCCCTTGAGCTCTATATGTGAACCTTTCTCCTAACATTCATGTTTACTTAGTATAGCATTACACTTTGTCTTATTATCTGTGGAGGAGATCCCTCTTCATTCTGTCTGAGAATTTGAAGGCCTCTTGAAGCATGAGATTATCTGCAGTATCAGATTTGGCCGCTAGAAAGACATGCTGCACAAATTGAACTTGATAGAAAGCCAGAAAAGAGCCAGACCCTTCTAGGAAGAGCTTTCTGCTTTATACATTTGTTAAACTCACCCACCACTCTGTTCCAGTGTCCATGCAGCTGAATTGTTTCCAGATAAGACCTCCAGAAAAGAACCTCTTGCTTTCCCACAGCTTAGACATGAAGCCCACCCTCATCTCAGTGCTTGTGATGATATTCACATTCATTGAGTAAATTCTCTTTTGATTCTAAATTTCTATGGTCTTCTGACTTAGAGTCAGTTTAGTGAAATATTCTCCTGAGTCTGGAAGGCTCTCTCTGACACAGAATTGGTGTTTCGGGAGAAACAAGAGCCCAGACAGTGACTCAGCCTGAGGACCACATCTCTGCCTCTGAAGGGGCCCAGTGCAGCTGAAGTGCAACTACTCATATTCTGAGACTCCTGTGCTCTTCCAGTACATCCAGTACCCAAAACAAGGCCCCCAGTTACTCCTGAAACACATCTCAGGAGAGAGCATCAAAGGTTTCACGGCTGAACTTAACAAGGATGAGGCATCCTTCCATCAGAAGAAACTAACAGCTCATGAAGAAGAGTCAGCCATGTGCTCTGAGTGGCAGAGTAACTGCTGTTGCAGGGGAAACAGAACACAAACCCTGTAGCACAAACATTTTTCTGTCAGTTCTTTATATGGCCATAGTGGGACATTCTTTCTCTAGAGATGAACATTGAGTCTACCTCCTAGATTCAATATCATTACTAGTCCATTAGATTAACCTCCAAAATTTGCCCAAGAAAATTCTCATTACCTGTAAGGCTTAAACTAATTTTTAAAATATTAAGTGTATTTACTTTATCTTGTAGTACCTGGAAAAATAGTTTTCAGATAAAAACTACACAGCAATATACTGCACAGCATAAATATTTCTTTTCTTGACCTAGAGGGACTCTCCAGACTTAAGTGGTGCAGTCCCACCTCTCCAACTCCTCTGCTACCCCATACCTCCCCCACATGTGTTCATCACCACATACCTACACACAGCTCCTTAAAAGTGCTACACTGTTTCATGGCTTGTAGTTGCTGTGCTTTCTACACCCAATGTCTTTCCTCTCATGCATTTCATAGACTGCTACCATCTCAGCCAGGGTCTACCCAGGAGAAAAAACAAAACAGTAATTTGAACAAGGAAATTTAATATCAAGAATAATTAAATAATAACAGGGAATTAACTATTAGTATATAAAAACAACTCGAAAGAATATGGGAATTCCACATGTAGGGAGAAGCTCTCATCTCTGGGATTAAAGAAGAATTTCTAAGGAAGAAACACTTTGAAATAAGGATACTTCTGCCACTCCAAGGCTATAATTCGAAACTTGTTGGGAGTGTGTTGCTGTAGCCTGCTGGATGCTGGAGAAGTTTGCTGAGGTGCCAGAGAAATAGTGTGCCAAGGTGGAAAATATCTCCAGGGTCTCAACAAAATTTACAGGAAGCTGGCAAAGAAATGCTGCTGAACATGCTTGGGGTGCTCATGAAACTTGGCAAGAAATTACCTGTGGGACTGTCACTGAACCTTGCTGGAGGTGAGTGTCACTGGGTCTTCCACAGACCAGCCAAGCACTGCAGGACAAGAAGTGCCGAAACATACCAGAACCAGGAAGAGGAGTCTCTTACTCCTGCAGTATTCCTCCAGTACTCTCGACTAAAAAAATCTTAATATCATGTTAGCTGACAAAGAGGAAATGTTTACAGAGTCCAGATCTGATATCACAAATATGCCAATGAAGGGTGGATTTGGAGCTGAGAAGCAGTAAATTGTTAACTGGCATATTCCATTTCCCTGGTAACCATTCTTTCATATGCGACCCTCTACACATGTCTGAACTTCCAAACAACAATGAAATGACTCTGTGTTTCCACTTAAAAAACCAAAGATGTCCTTTGAACAAGTGAGGAAGTTCTCATCCTTTCCCCACGATGACGAGACCCATAGTCCTAAAAGTCAGTTCTAAGAGTCTCTCTTATATTAATCACTTCTAAAATTCAGAGGAAGTTCCACAGTTTATGCTGTTATATGCAGACTAAATTGTAAATTTAATCTCCTACATTTTGTATATAAAATAATTATGATAAGAAGGAGAGAGAGGAAAATGGCAGCATATACAAAGGAATACATACATATAAGGAGCAAAGAGAAAATACAGAAAGCTACTACATTTATGATTCAAATTTGGTTATGAGGCTGCAATTGACATGCACAGCTTCCTTCTTTTATTACCCATCTTTTCTTTCCCCTGCTCTCAGCCATAACTTCAGTGGATTGGGATTATTTACCAGTTGGAATGATTCAAATCTTCATTCTCAGGGTATCTGAGTCTGCAATAATCCTGCCCTTTTCTTTGTTTCTGTAGCTTTCCATTAACCTTTGCTATTGAGCATGGAAGCACTGAGAGCATCCCCAGAAATTCCCCTGGATTCCAGACATAGTCTTCTTTGCACCTGTTGTGGAGCAGCCACCCAATTCCCTGATGGTAATTGGTATCAGTCATTCCAATGAGAGGAATAACCTCTTTTTTCTACTTGTTGGTTCAGTGACTTATGAAGCCCAAAATGGCCACATGGCAGTTTCATCTTCCACTTCAGTGGAACCATTGTTGTGTCTCCTGGTGGAAGCATTTCTCCTTTTAAAGAATAAGACCTCCAAAGCAACACAGCTCAAAGTTGCAAATACGGGAAGCAAAAATTGTGCTAATGGGTTACTGGTAATAATAGTGAGAGGATCCATACCCAGGCCACTTCCTTGATGCCGGACCCATGCATTCTGGCTATAGAGGAGACAACATTATATAATGGTCTCAGATATAAAGACTATTGTGCATCTTGTAAGATGGAACCCTGTCTTTTCAGAGTGTCTTCAAATTGGTTGCATAAGTGAATCAATAAGCCATTCCACATTTCAACAGGTCAGCACCTAGAAGGTAATAAGGTATGTAGGAAGATTATATAATTCTATAAATATGTGCCCACTGCTGTAATCATGTGCAACAGTTTATCAGAAGAAATGCTGTGGGGGAATATCTTGAAGGTAGATTAGGCATTCTTAGAGTTCATGGTGATGCTGGCAGAAGCATTATAAACAAGGAAGACAAAGCTATATGGATCTATATGCAAGTATATATATCTATTCCAGTGAGAACGAATTTCTACCAAGTTCATGATGGAAGAGGTTTAATGTACCCAACATGTCACCATATGTCTGGTCAGTCTCTCTGGGGAATGGCACCATGTAAGGAGCTCAGTACTAGACTCTGTGGTTGACAGAATAGGCACTGAGCAGTAACACCACCTAGGG